TGCACTCTTACACATAGTAGGGACTCGACATAGACTTTCCTCACCCTACCATCTACAAACAAATGGATTGACTGAACGGTTCAATCATACACTATGTACAATTTTGGCAAAATATGCAACACAACACCAAGGGGAATGGGATACTTACTTAGCCTTAGCTTTATTTGCATATCGAACAGCACAACAGGGTACTACAAAATATGAACCTTTTGAATTATTATACAGACGACATGCGATACTACCAATAGATTTACAGATGCAACGCCCTATTACTACACAGAATTTACTGAAAACCATAGAACAATATTATCAATTGATCACGACACAATTGCAATAAAGGTGATAAGATGCATAACAGAACATTATGAAGCAACAACAAAAGCAAAAGGAACGTTACGACTAGACACATAAGGGAATAGATTATCAAATTAGAGATAAGGTTCTATTATTTAATATTGTACAAGCACACGTACATGGTGACAAATTCAAGGATAAGTTTGATAGACCCTTTTACATACATGATATTGTACAACCGGGTACATATAAATTAAGAACTATTGATGGAAAAGTTAGGAAAAATCCAACACATGCCGATCAACTCAAACCTTATCTTGAACGAACCAATTGGGAACCACAGATTATAATTGATGATCTACCTCCACAAATCTAATAAAAATACCGTAGAATTGTTCAAGTATTGAACAAAATGTAATTCCCAACTGTAAGCGATATTATATTGCAAGAACTACAAAAACCTCTTTTAGAAGTAATGTTTAAACCAACCCGACCATATACCTCTGATATGACTCTAGATGAGAAAGTTAAAAGAACTTACCATTCGCTTTTGAAAGCTCGACGAGTAAAGAATCGCATCTTAATTTTACTTAATGCCTTTTTCTTAGGACAACTTATTAATGACGATATTACACTTGCTCAACGAATTCTGCAATGTCAAACGATGACCAGTCATTATCATCAAAGTGCTACTCGAGTATATCATTTATTTGAAACGTTCGGTACTCAACAAATCATGGTAACTCAAATCTTGATATTAACAATGGTTAGAACACTCAAATCCTCTGAATTTCAAGACCTCCTTTGTAAGGCAATGGAAATTTCTGTTGGTACAGAAATCTTAAACGCGGAGTAATGTAAACGGATCTACAAAGTGATCTGCAAAATCGATCTACAAAAGGGATTTGCAGAATTGATCAACA